CCCCCCTTATGAGCAGTGCTGGATGTGTCGGTCAGTGCGTGTGTTAGCATGTAGCATCTTTAGCAGCTAAACTTCAAACTAAGAGCATCAAAAAGAAATCAAACATTTAAGAATTACAAAAATTGACCATGTATAAAATAWGGTAGAGAAACTGTAGTTTGACTATCTTCAAATGATATTTATGAAAATACAAACTTGTCAGTCCCATCAGTCATCTTAGCKGTTAGCGTTAGCTTTCATTAAACTTTGTATCTGTTTAGCGTTAGCCTAGCTAAAATTCTTGTTTGGCAGATTAGAGGTTAGTGAAGCTAACATCTTGGTTAGCAGATAATCTGTCTGAATGTTGGTGATCTTGTTTTCAGCAGAGTCTAATATTCTTATCATCATTAACTGTGACAATAAGACCCTTCAGGACTCTGATGTTATCATCAGTCCCACAGAAACAAACTGAACTAAACGTCTGGGTTTTCTTACTATTTGTGACTTCTTCTTTTTCTTTTTAATGGATCTGAAGAATCCTTGTTTCTCCTTCTCTTTGGTTGGCTCAGGAGGATTCATGACCATCGCCTCTGCAGCCGTCCTGCAGAACACGAGTAACGATTTCACATGATTAGCTCATGATTTTATTCATTTAGGTTTGTTATATTTGCTGTTGAACATATATAGGAGAGTAAACTAATAAACTGTGAGAAACTGAAAACAATGCAATTCTTAAAGCAAAATCTTTTGTTGCCACTAGATTATTTTGAAAACAGCAATTTATTGAAATGACTAAAATAAAACGATGAGGCTGAAAACTAACAGATCCGATGTAACGAACTGAACACGACGCATCAATAATCCTCACCAGTCAAAAGCTGTCTGGCGTTTGGAGTGGTTCGCCACGCCACCCGGGTCGCCAGCTACAACGGGTCCTACGGGTCCTCGACCCTGACCAACACCTTCGTGGAAAGAAGAGGAGTTATCCGGTCTGGGGGAGGGGACTGAAGAGAAACGGAGGAGAGAACATGACTGAAACTCTGAAAAGTCTTCAGATCGATTCACAGAGAAACAAAATCCAGCATGAAGGATTCAGTTTGTTTATCTTCTTGGCTGTGGATCAGAAGGAGAGCTGAGGCCTGGAAACTGGAAGCATGCTGAATGCTGAATGTTTTCACCCCAGTTACAGTTAGAGCTACTTGTTTTGAACTATAACTACGTCAAAAACTTTCAGTTATTTTCCTTTTCCTTAATAATTTATAGATTATTCCAATTTTTCCTGCAATACATCATTACTGTTTTTGAAGACAAAGCTAATTGAAAGGGGCGCTGAAAGAGTTACAACCAGGGATTACAAACAACAACCTTTTTTTTCTTCTGCAGTTTGGCGTCCACTCCAGCAGATGGCGTTCTAGGCAACGCCTAGTTCGCCTATGCCAAGAGCCGGCTCTGTGTGGGAGGAAATAGCTCAGATCCTGCAAGGTAGTTCTTGTCATTTTTTTTATTTTGTTGTTTTAAAGCTAAACTGTCTCTTCCTCCTCATCCTTGACATCATGACTAAAATTGAGAGAAATTAAAAAAATTTGTCAGGCGGTCAGTACGCTCGAATATGAAGTCTCAAACATCCGTGGACAATATGCGCAGAGTCCGCGTGGCTCATGGACCGCACACAGCACGCCCGAGTATGTGGGAGCCTTAACTCTGCTACAGCACCTAACTATGCTAACATTGCTAACTCTGCTACCGCTCCTAACTATGCTAACACTGCTAACACTCCTAACTATGCTAACATTGCTAACTCTGCTACCTCTCCTAACTATGCTAACATTGCTACCGCTCCTAACTATGCTAACACTGCTAACTCTGCTACCTCTCCTAACTATGCTAACATTGCTACCGCTCCTAACTATGCTAACACTGCTAACTCTGCTACCTCTCCTACCAATGCTAACATTGCTACTGCTCCTAACTATGCTAACACTGCTAACTCTGCTACCTCTCCTAACTATGCTAACATTGCTACCGCTCCTAACTATGCTAACTCTGCTAACACTCCTAACTATGCTAACACTGCTAACTCTGCTACCTCTCCTAACTATGCTAACATTGCTACCGCTCCTAACTATGCTAACACTGCTAACTCTGCTACTGCTCCTAACTATGCTAACACTGCTACCGCTCCTAACTATGCTAAGACTGCTAACTCTGCTACAGCTCCTAACTATGCTAACATTGCCAACACTCCTAACTATGCTAACACTGCTAACTCTGCTACTGCTCCTAACTATGCTAACATTGCCAACACTCCTAACAATGCTAACTCTGCTACAGCTCAGGGTCAAGTCCAATTCTAGTCCAAGTCATTGGTGTAAAAGTCTAAGCCAAGTCACAAGTCTGAACATTTTTTCAAGACAAGTCTAAAGTCATAATATTAATGACTCGAGGCTGACTTGAGTCCAAGTCGTGTGACTCGTGTCCCCACCTCTTTTTTATTGACTAGAAGTTTTAATGAGTTGTTTTCAACATATTTCTATGAATAAATGTCTGTTTTTCTAGATGTTCTTAATCAAAGTGGATAACAAGACATTTAACTGGTGAGTTGTTGTTTTGTTTATCGTTTGTTCTGGTTGTTTTGGACCCGCCGTGGTCACTACAGTGTGCCATCAATCACAGAGCCACAGTTGAGGGCTGTCGGGTTTTTACAGGTTAAAATCTTTGAATCCGACTCGGAGCTTTTCTGTGATTCCTGGTCCTCACCTCTGTAAAAACTGCCGACTCTTCGAGGCATGGACTCGGTGAAGATCATGCGGTTCTCCTTGGCAGAGCCGCCGTCATCGCCATGAGGGTCGTGATACATCCCGACCTGATGAAACAGACACACACCACGCTGAGTAAACAACGTGCTTCAGTGTCTTCAGGTAATCCCACTGCCTGAACACGGGACAGTTTATCAGCTTTTCAGTGAAGCTACATTTATAGCAACGCCAGCATGCAGTGAAGCCTGAGTATAAACAGGAGAACGCTACAGAAACCAGCCGTTAGAGAGACGAGCTGTGCGTCAGGGAGGAACCGGTGGGTCGGACCTCGTTTTTAGAGCGCTGCGTGTGAAAAGCAGCTGAGTTGTCCCTCGTAGAGTCTTTGATGGGGGCACAGGGGTGGCTCATGTCTTTAGGGGGTTGCTCACTCTGTTGGGGAGACGGACAGGTGCAGGTCAAAGCAGACWGGAGAAGCAGCAGTGAAGCAGAGGACAACGTGACACGGACAGTCCCAACACACACGCAACTCATAACACACACACTTCCACTGACGCAGCTTTAGTGCACAAAAAAGCATTTAATATTTAAAGTCAGTGAGTGAGCTGAGTTAAAGAAAACTAAATATCTGATCAACCTGCCACATCTGTTACAGGAAGTTCTGACAGATGTGCACTTTACCTGGAAACAGGTGTGAAATAAAATGTAACCAACACATTTTCATTATTTATCTTCCTTTCTGAGTATAAACATTTTATTGGTATTTAGCTCACTGTTCTATTTGCTAAATTTTACTAAATGCTAAATTTAAATGTTAAATCTTAAATCTAAATGTAAAAAGTAAATCTTTAAAGTTGTGGCTAAATCATAAAGGTTATATTCCAGAATGGAACACAGTTTTTGCAGTTGGTTATCAGCTTTTGTTAGCAAACACTGATAACTCTGCTAACACTACTAACTCTGCTAACACTAATAACTCTGCTAACACTACTAACTCTGCTAACACTAATAACTCTGCTAACACTACTAACTCTGCTAACACTACTAACTCTGCTAACACTAATAACTCTGCTAACACTACTAACTCTGCTAACACTAATAACTCTGCTGACACTACTAACTCTGCTAACACTACTAACTCTGCTAACACTACTAACTCTGCTAACACTAATAACACTGCTGACGCTGCTAATCCTTCAAATGTTTTAACTCTTCTAACGCTACTAACCCTGCTAACTCGGCTAACACTGCTAACACTGCTAATCCTTCAAATGTTTTTAACTCCGCTAATGCTGCTAATGCTGCTAWTTCTTCTAACGCGACTAACCCTGCTAACTCGGCTAACACTGCTAACTCTGCCAACACTGCTAACTCTGCCAGCACTGCTAACACTACTAACACTACAACTCTGCTAACACTGCTAACTCTGCTGACACTGATAATCCTTCAAATGTTTTTAACTCTGCTAATACCGCTAATGCTGCTAACACTGCTAACTCTGCTAACACTGCCAGCACTGCTAACTCTGCTAACACTACTAACTCTGCTGACACTGCTAATCCTTCAAATGTTTTAACTCCGCTAATGCTGCTAACTCTTCTAATGCTACTAACCCTGCTAACTCTGCTAACACTGCTAACTCTGCTAACACTACTAACTCTTCTAACACTGCTAACTCTTTAAATGTTTCTAACTCTGCTAATGCTGCTAAATCTGCTAACGCTACTAACTCTGCTAACGCTGCTAACACTACTAATTCTGTTAACACTGCTAACTCTTTAAATGTTTCTAACTCTGATGACGTTTATAACTCTGCTAACATTTATATCTCTGCAAACATTTATAACTCTGCTAACGTTTATAACTCTGCTAACGGTTATAACTCTGCTAACGGTTATAACTCTGCTTACGGTTATAACTCTGCTAACGTTTATAACTCTGCTAATATTTATAACTCTGCTAACGTTTATAACTCTGCTAATGTTTATAACTCTGCTGACGGTTATAAATCTGCTAATGTTTATAACTCTGCTAACGGTTATAACTCTGCTGATGGTTATAACTCTGCTAATGTTTATAACTCTGCTAACATTTATAACTCTGCTAATGTTTTTAACTCTGCTGACAGTTATAACTCTGCTAATGTTTATACCTCTGCTGACAGTTATAACTCTGCTAATGTTTATAACTCTGCTAACGGTTATAACTCTGCTAACGGTTATTACTCTGCTAACAGTTATAACTCTGCTAACGGTTATAACTCTGCCAACATTTATAACTCTGCTAACATTTATAACTCTGCTAACGGTTATAACTCTGCTAACGGTTATAACTCTGCTAACATTTATAACTCTGCTAACGGTTATAACTCCGCTAACATTTATAACTCTGCTAACCTTTCTAACCCTTCTAATGCTACTATCTCTTCACTACAAGACATCAAACTCAGTTGCAGTCAGTGTCTTAGCTGCAGACTCAGATGGAATGAGTCCACATCACAGTGGTGTTACCATGGAGACAGGAGCATCCCCTCAAACACCTGATGTAAAATGAGGAAGTACCAGATGAAACGATGAATGTTTCTGTTCTCCGTCACTAACCCTCGTCATGTCGTCGGTGCAGTCCTCCCTGGAGGAGCTCACGGAGTGTCCGGTCAGGGTGGTCCGGTGCTGCAGCTGAGGAGAGAGGAGCTGCAGGCTGCTGGCTCTGGTCGGGATGGCCTGCCCCGGCGGAGGCAAGCCCGCCATGCTGCTGTTTTCCAGCACATGCGGTCGATGGCGTTCCCTCCTCACGTACATGGAGTGGCGCTGAGGTCGCTGCTGAGAGGAGAAGGGGGAGGTGTAGCCCAGTCCGTAGTGATAAGACTCGTGTGGAGATGGCAGGGTGTGGGTGTTGGGCATCGCTGGTCCTCCTGGGTCCAAAAGCTCTGGAGCTCCAGCATCTTCTGGAGAGAAGAGTACAGTCAAAGTCTGCAGTGCTGGTTTTTCTAGAAATTATGAATAAAGTGGATTAAAAGATGTAAACTTTAGTTTCTTTTTTGTTTAAATTTTGTTCTGATTGTTTAAGGACCCTCAGCAGTCACTGAAAGCTAACACATCACGTACAGTAACTTCTTCTTGAGCTCCCTGCTGCCTTTGACCCGGTGGATCATGAAATTTTGTTACCATGTTTGGAACAGTCTGTTGGTGTGAAAGGCACGGCTCTTTAATGGTTTGAGTCCAACTCGTATGAAAGAAGTTTTTCTGTCCAAATAGAAGCGTTTTCTTCCACAGAGGCTCCTGTTTAGCCTGGTCCTTGCCTTCCTACACAGTTCTGCTCAATTCTGGTTTCCTTCACTGCTCCGTCTGGGTCTGAAGAACCTACAGACAAGGGTTTCTTCAGGAGAATTTCATCTGGGCCAATCAGAGAACAGAAGGAGGAACTTTGAACGACGTCTATGTTCTGCGCAGTGTCTGCTAGTTATTTTAGCATTCAGCAGTGGAGGAAGTGAATGAAGCCAGTCTGTGTTGATAAGACTTCAAATTAAAATAAATTTGTCTGACAAAGCAGCAGCTCTCATTTACAGTCGTCTCATTCAGCTCTATATATTTCTCCTCTCAGTAGGGTTGTTTACAGCAGTGTTTCCCAAAGTTGGGGTCGGGACCCAAAGTAGGGTCCCAAAACATTAAGGTGGGGTCCTGAAAAGATTTTCTGAATTAATTACATTTTTGCCTTAGTTTTTACAGAGTGAGGTTAGTGTATTTAAAATGGATAAATGTAGTATAAAAATATTGTTACTTTGCCCATGTTTTGTTGACCTGACACAAATGTTTATCATCCAAAAACAGCTGGGGGCACAGGTCTCTGTTATTGTTATTTTGTGGGTCAAAAGTTGAAAAGTTTGGGAACCACTGCACTTTGGTTCCCAAAGTTGGGCTTGGGACCCAATTATGGGTCATGAAGCACCTTGGATAATCTCCAGAAATCAATTTAAAGGGTAATAAAATAATTGCAGATGTAATATTTTCCCTATAATTATTACAAAAACACAAAATAAATATAAATAAGTATTTACACTCACCGGCCACTTTATTAGGTACACC